AGCAGCTGTACTCTGTAACACGTGGGGTCACCATGAGTGGAGATTACAGCCAGGGAAACCCTATGGAGCAGCTGTACTCTGTAACACATGGGGTCACCATGAGCGGAGATTACAGCCAAGGAAACCCTATGCAGCAGTTGTACTCTGTAACACCGGGGTCACCACTGGTCAGAGTGGATTTGACAGCAATGGGTAGCAGTAGCAGTGGCCGGACCCAAGGGCAGAAAATGTCAGCTTCAAGTGCTCCCTGACTAAGGAAAGGCCATCAAGGCTCAGCTAGAATCCCCCCATGGAAATGACGACTTTGTCCATCCACTCACTACCACGGAGGCGCCCCGCCCCTGCTGGGCCCGGGTGGCAGGAGGGTCTCCCTGGTGGTCCTGGTGACCAAGGCCCCCGTGAGTCACCTGTGAGCATGTGTCAGCCATGTGCATCTTTTAGTCGGCCATTCCCCTGACCTGCGGCCCAGTGTTACACCAAAGTTCAAATGTCTGAAGGGAAACCACCAAAGAGAAGAATTCAGAATTAAACCATCGGATAAAAGGAGAAGTCATTTGCAATGTGAACGAACACCCCTACTTCATCTATTTATGCACACAGTGTTTTGGGGATTATCTTCTAGCTTCCCCCCACTATAAAAGAAGAGTTGAGTAAAGGCCGTGATCTGTGTTTTCCTTGTTAAAAAACGTTCTTTTAAAATTCTTCCGAAGCCACACTTCTGAACTGCTGGAGGTGGCGGGGGAGGTCAGGTGGGATGTGCTGTTCCAGTCGGTGACGCGAGAAGGGCTGGCGGGAGCCCGACCCCACCCTGCAGCGGGCAGGTGTGCAAGTGTGCGCGTTTGTGTGTGTGTTATATGTGTTTGTGCGTGTCCATGTGTGAGCATGTGTGCTTGTGGGTATATGTCTATGTGAATGTTTGTGTGTGTGTTTGTATATGTGTGTGAGGGTATGTTTGTGTGTGTTTGTACGTGTGTGAATGTGTATCTGTATGAGTGTGTTTAAGTGTTTGCATGTGTGAGCATGTGTGCGTGCGTGTCTGTGTATGTAAGGGCGTGTGTGAACGCGTGTTTTGTGTACATATGTGAACGTCTGTGAGTGTATGTGTATTTGTGTATGTTTGTGTGAGCGTGTGTGCCGGGTGGTTAAGGGCTTGGGAATGCATCAGTTCCTGGTGGAGACTGACCTGTAGACTGGCAATTGCCTGTTGAGACCCCTGGTCCCTACAAGTCCTTCCTGAGGCTCAATTTTATCATTTCGTCCTTGTTTGCTGGGTGGCACCCAGAAAGTATAACCCTGGGATGCTCCTGTGTTCCTTTCCAGTCTGCTTTGGAGATTCTGAATTCAGAAGTAAAGCCGATTTTTCTTTTCTAATTGTCAGCCTCTTGGGCAACTACAAGTGAAACTGGAATCTTCTCCAAAGGACTTCTCACACCTTCAGCCTCAAGAGAGGGACCTGTTGGCTACTGGACCGCATCTGCATGCTGTAAGATGTGCTTTGAGATGAAAATGTATTTTATTTTAGAAAATATACTGTAATAAAGGTTTCAACCCCACAGAACAGCCTGGAATATTCCTCACCTCCCCATATACCCATAGGCTCACAGACTTTAAGTGCCAATGCTCCAAAACAAAACAAAACCCATTGTGTCTAAACATTTTAATAACTTGTTTAATTTTTAAGGCACACGGTTTATGTAGATCATTTTAACATCTAAAACTACAAAGTGAGCCCTAGTGACATCTGGTAGTCTACTCATTTGCCACACTGAAATGGAACATTGCAACACTGGGTTTAAAAATCTGACTCCTAAGATGTGGAACAACATGATCACTGGTGGCATATGCTAGATGTGACCTCCAAAAATGTGCAGTTAACACAGCTGACTATGGGACCTGCTGTCCCCAACAAGACCACAGGACCCAGGAAGCTGGGAATGAGAGTGGCCGCTGCATTATGGACTCCATCTTCTCTTACTAGACGTCCGCTGCCAAATCCCAGGACGGCTATTTTTAATGCATTTTTCTTTCTTCCAAGTGAATCACCCACAGAGCTGATGTATAAATGAGAAATGAGCATTTTAGCATCAACCACACGCTACACCCAACTCTGTAAGAAGGGCTTTCTGTAGGATGTGTGTCAAAGGAACTCCGCCTGATGGATAACGCTCAAGTGCTGCGGGCTCCTGACGACCATCTAAGCAGCCTCACACTGGTCTTCCCAGCCTTGGGTTGGAACCCAGCAACCCAGCCCACACAGAGCTGTTGACAAAGGCTGGTTACAGGGAGGGTGGAGGGGAAGCCACAAACTAGAAACCCTTCAGAGTCAAGAGTTTCCACTTCCTCCCTAACTTGACCTTTACCAGAACTGCCCATAACTTTCATTGCCCTGGATTTTCCCTGCCTGACCTCTACGTGAGATTAGAAGGGGCAAATACGCAGCAAGGACCAGGCTAGCCCCACAGCACATCATCCCGAGTGCCAGGCTGTGTGGGGCGCAGTTCTACGGAAACACGTGAGGTTGTCCTGAGTCTGAATCAGTTCGACAGTAACAGTGTTGGCTTGTTTTGAGGGGGGAGGGGGATGGCTTAGAGAGGGCAACCATTAAAAGAAATCAAGGTGTACTTGATGCACATTTCAATACAAGGCAGGGAGATCCACCATCTTGCAGATTATGTTAAGAGTCCTCCTGACAAGATGGTCTCCTTGCGGGGGGAGCAAGAAAAGGTTCAGAAAAGGAAGGAACTACAGACCCCAAAAGACACACTCCTCCATTTCCCCTCCTGGAACCCAAGGCTGTGGGCGTCATGGAGGAAGAGACAACACAGGCTGGGGGTCCACAGCTTCCAGTTCCAGGTGGTCCCTGCTGGTCTGCGAACTCTACAATCCTCACCTCCGAGGAAGCCTGATCACAACATCCTCTCTGGCTCTGCAGCACCGAATCTTCTTGTTTGTTTTAGGTCCTCTGTGAATGGTTGGCGATTGGGTTGGTGAAGAATATTGAGTACACCATGGATTGTCAGAAGAACGAACAAACCTGTCTTGGAAGAAGTACACTCAGAATGCTCCTTAGAAGCAAGGATGGTGAGACTTCATCTCACATACTCTGGACATGTTATCAGGAGGAACCAGTCCCCGGAGAAGGACTTCATGCTTGGTGAGGTGGACAGCCAGCGAAAAAGAGGAAGACCCCCAATGAGATAAACTGACACAGTGGCTGCAACAATGGCGTCAAATGCAGCAAGGAGCGTGAGGATGGTGCGGGACGGGGCAGTGGCTCGTTCCACTGTACACAGGGTCGCTGTCAGTTGGAACTGACTCGACAGCAGCTAACAACAACAGCGTGAACAGTTGGTAGCACAGACGGTTGGTGAAGGTTAGGGAGACCCTTGGTGAGGTGGACTGACATAGTGGCCAAACAGTGGACTCAAGCATAGTAACCATTATGAAGATGGTACAGGACCCAGCAACATTTCCTTCTGTTGTACGTGAGGTCGCCACGAACTGGAGCCAACTCATGGCAACCCAACAACAACATGGATGTCCACCAAGAGTTATCCTTACCCCTCCTCCAAAATAAAGCAGCATGATCCCATTCATGAATGCAAAATGGTGTGTGTGGTGTGAGTGTGTGTGGGAGACAGACTGAAGATTTGAAGGGCACTCGCCAATAAGTTACAAGTCATTATCTACTGTGGTGAGATTTTAGGTGATTTCTTTCCCTTCCTTCTTTATACCCTCCGACATTGGGTTAAAATATTACAATAAGCGTGTATAATTTTGTAATGACAAAATGAGTTAAGTTTTTTTTTGTTTTGAAAAAAACTAAGCTAATATTTTAGAGAAGAAAAGCAGGCTATATATGATTAAAAAAACTAATTATCAGAGACAGAGCAATTTTTTGAAAAATTGAAGGAGGAAGTGAACCAAAACCTAATTTGCCTTTGAAACTTAAACCACAAAACGCTGGTCCTAGACATCAGAGATTAAATGCCACGGATGTCAGAGAGAGGAGCTAACAGACCAGGACACCTGAGTGTGTACAGTGATAGATACTGGATGTGTTCAGACACACAAATGAGATATTACAGGACCAGGTATCATTCGGCTATGAGCGTTATTTTCCAAAGGGCAGTCGTCGGGAGAAAGCACACAGAACACACTCTTTTTGTAGCCAAGCTCGCTCGACTGTGAAACAAAGCACAAAAGAGTCCAGTGTCACTTCATTCTTTTTGCAACATCTGAATACGCGTGTACGATCTCCTGGTCGGCTGGACACGTGTTTATGAACTCGTCCCTAGCGTAGGCATTGTTCAAGTATCTCCAGAGGCCGGTCATTTCAGGAGGAAATTCAAAATCTCTGTATCTCTTGGCCACGATCTGAAAATGAAGAGGAAATAATCAGGAAAAGGGAAAACCCCTAAGGCAGGCGGCCGAATCAGACACTCCATCTTCCGAGGTGTGTGGTATGTTCTTGTTCTCAATCCCTGATGTCATCCAACCGTCCTTAGGGTACCCCAGCTCAGATTTTACACAGTGGTGTCCCGGGAGCTGGAAAGGTTACAGAGGTACTGGGTTCCACACGAGGGCTGCCCACCAGTCCTGCCCTCTGACTGATCACAGACGGCCTCTGAGAACCCCTGGCGTTAATTAGTCTGTACCTGGTTGATCTCTCCTTGTGCTGGCTGCAGAGTTCTCTTCATGCGCTCTGCTGCTGTGTTATTTTGGTGCATAATGATTCAAAACGGATTTCAGTTTACATTGTACCAGTATCACTGTAAAGTACCTTCTCTTTTTCCTACTTGCTGGGCCAGCCTGGGGGGCATGAAGGCTCAACTTACTTTCGAAACGTGCTCTAATCTAACCTCATGAAATCCCAATCACCCTACCAACCAACCAACCACAACAAAAACCGTTTCCACAGAGTCCACTCCAACTCACTGCCACCCCATGTGTGTAAGAGTAGAAGGGAACTCTGTAGGGTTTTCAATGGCTGTGATCTTTCAGAAGCAGATCACCAGGCCTTTCTTCTGAGGTACCTCCGGGTAGACTCAAACTGCCAAGCTTTCAGTTAGTAGCTGAGCGCTTAACTGTTTGCACCACCTCGGGTCTCCTAACTACTCTTCATTGTGCATCATTCCTACAGATTTCTATCCATAAACTGGATCATCCGATTATGGGCCTACTGCGTGCAGGGGACAGATTCACAAATGTAACGGACACAAATCCTGACCCTCATAGAGGTAGTCGGTGCGAGGGTGGGGCAACCGAGAGCGAACACCATGAGAGACACAGCAGTGTGAGGTCTGTCTCCTTCTACCAGGAGGGGTGCAGTCGGGGAAATTATCACAAGGGGGCATATCTCAAAGCTGCAGCCATCTGACTGGGACCCAGAGCTACAAAGACCCTTTCTCTTTGTTCTCCCCATGGCAATGGTCCTTGGGATGTCTGAACAAACCGAGCATGGGATTTACCATCAATTACAAGACCTTTGGGGCTGCTTCTCAGGTTTTGGAGGCCAGGAGACACGGACATAGCGTGGCCGCAAAACAGGACCATATAACTTTTAGAAAACCTGCTAAATTGTTTAGCATCTTTTGCTTGATGTTAACCTCACTGATAAACCGAAAACCAAACTCGGTACCGTCGAGTCAATTCCATCTCACGGCAACCCTATAGGACAGAGTAGAACTGCCCCGAAGAGTTTCCAAGGAGCACTTGGTGCATTTGAACTGCTGACCTTTTGGTTCTCAGCCATAGCTCTTAACCACTGTGCCACCAGGGTTTCCAGCCTTGCTGATGGCGACATTAGGAACTCCGCTTCCCTTTAGTTTGCATTTGCCTGGGTTCCCTCGGCCCGTCCTTTTATTTTAACTGTGCTGAGTAACTTTGTTCAGTGTGTGCCTCTTATAGATGTCATCTTGTTTTCAGATTGTTGTTTGAATTTAATATTTACTTTGTTTTCTGTCACCTGTGTGTGTGTGTGTGTGTGTGTGTGTGTGTGTGTGTGTGTGTGCACGCGTGCATGTACTTCCCTTTCTGGTAATTTTGAAAGTTTATGGTCTGTTTTAACTCTTCAGTGGTTTCCTATAGCTTTAAGTAACAGGGATTCTCTATTTCTCGATTTTTATCAACTTTAGGTGGTATCCGCTGACTTCTGACTGTGACAAACGAGGAAATTAGTATATCTGCTTGTCTTCCCATTTCTTCTCCATTACCCCCCATTCCAACTTGCGTAACCATATCCACAGTTAACCTTTTCTGATTCTGCTTGGTAACTGTACTTCCCACTGTTGTCAGTCTCGCTGTTAGACTTAAAGGGGCTCTACGTTTATCACAGGCGACCTCGGGTGGTGCTGCGCTTGGCTGGTAACTGAAAGGCTGGGGGTTCGAGTCTACCTACATGGTGCCTCAGAAGAAAGGCCTGGAGGGCTACTTGAAAACCTATGGAGCACAGCTCCGCTCTGACACACGTGGGTCACTATGAGTCGGAATCAACTCAATGGCAACTGGTTTGGTTCTGGGTTTATGTTTCTCATCGTCCTTTTACCCCACACAGCTTCTCTGTTCCTAGGATCTTTATTTTAATAATCACTGTCTTATGTCATCATACAAACGGCGACTCCGGACTGCTTGCTGCATTAAGACCAGAAGTCTAGGTAAGAACAACAGTGTGGCTGGATATGAGAGTCTCAGGTCACACATCCTTTCCTGTAATAAACCACTGTCTTCTGGTTTTAAATGGGGTCACGAAGCTGTATGAGGCCAGTCTGAGTTTCTTACCGTGTACATGGCTTTGTTATTTATTGTTCTGTTGTTGTTATTATTATTGCCTGGGTGCTTTAAAAAGCTATTTTTTATCCTCAAGTTTCGGTAATTTATTAGAGATGTCTGAATGTGGCTTTTTCTGGATCAGTATTTTCCTAAACATGGTACATCCATGCTCTGACAGGGATCACAATAGAGGGTCCCGGACAGAACTGGAGAAAAATGTAGAACAAAATTTTAACTCCCAAAAAAAGACCAGACTTACTGGTCTAACAGAGACTGGAGAAACCCCAAGAGTATGGCCCCCAGACATCTTTTTAACTCAGTACTGAAGTCCCTCCTGAGGTTCACCCTTCAGCCTAAGATTAGACAGGCCCATAAAACAAAACGAGACTAAAGGGGCAGGGACGAGAAGACAGGAGGGGACAGGAAAGCTGGTAACGGGGAACCCAAGGTTGAGAAGGGGAGAGTGTTGACATGTTGTAGGGCTGGCAACCAATGTCACAAAATATGTGTATTAATTGTTTAATGAGAAACCAATTTGTTCTGTAAACCTTCATCTAAAGTACAATTTTATATATATATATATATATATATATATCATGGTATGTCCATTTACACTGAAAGTTCAGGCCGTCCATTGGTCTAAGATAATTTTCCCTTATTTTTTCCTTTGAACCCTCTTTTCCTTTCCTGTTCCCCTGTCACTGACGATGCGTATCTGGGATCTCTCTAATCACTTTTATCTCTCTGGTCTGCTCCATTTGATTCTGGACAATTGTCTCAGGCCTGTCCTCTGAACCCCTCATTAATTCCTGCAATGTTTCTTCTGCTTCTAATTTTATTTCTGCAATTATTTTATTTGTCTTTCATCTTTTTTGAGGCTACCACGAGTCAGAACCAACGTGATAGCAACAACATCGACAATCTTTTTTTTTGAGCTCTGCCAGTCTTACTTCCACCTCCTTTGTAAGATTATCATTTGTGACATCTTGTGTCGTCTTTGAGCTTTTTCTCAGAAGGCCCACATTCTCTTTCATCTCTCTGAGGCTGCAGAGAAATATTGGTCTGGAACGTTCTTTAATTTTTCTGGAATAATTCTTTATCAGGTACGTATTTCTGATCTCCCTCTTGCTTTTTATTTCCTTGTCTTTATCCCCTTCTCCTCCCCTTTTTTATTATTTCTGTCTACATAAAGGTCCCGTAGAGATTCTTTCTGGTTATTAAAAACCAATTGCCATTGAGTCAATTCTGACTCATAGCTACCCATGTGTATCAGAACAGGACTGTGCTCCACAGGGTTTTTGGTGGCTGATTTTTCAGAAGTAGATCACCAGGCTTTTCTTTTCAGGCTCCTCTGGGTAAACTCAAACCTCCAGCCTTTCAGTTAGCAGCCCAGGACATTAACTGCTTGCACCACCCAGAATTATAACCCATCAAACCCTTTGCTGCTGAGTTGATTCCCACTAACAGTGACCCTACAGGACAGAGTAGAACTGCCGCATAGGGTTTCCAAGTAGCAAACGGTGGATTCGAACTGCTGACCTTTTGGTTAGCAGCCTGTCTCTCAACCACTGCACCACCAGGACTATGAGGGAGATAGGGTCGCTATGAGTCAGGATCGACTCGATGGCAATGGGTTTGGTTTTTGGTTTTTTACTGAACCTATCACTTGCTTATAAACAGTGTAGGGGGGGGCTCTGAAAGACTGAGGTGGAGTGGTTGGCACATCAGTTTGGATATTTAGCTTCCAAATACCCTCTCATCAAACTGCTCCATACTCTCTCCCAGGAGAACACTTCTCTGCTCCCAGCATCCTCCACCCAGAGGTTCACAGATTAGATAGGAGGTCACCATCACTGAAAAATGAAGCCAGGACTATTTATAGTCCATCTCCTAACTGCTCAGGCCTTGTTTCATTTCTCTGCTCACAGTAGCTGCAAAGTAGAATATCACTTCCCCTCTCTCCTCCACTCTGCCTCCCCTCCAGGCTGTTCCTTTGGGGTAGGGACTAGGTCACAGATATAAGGATGTCTCCTCTGTCTGGTTCCTCCTTCAGTGCTGCCTCTCTAGGGCTCCGTCCAGTGATGCTCTCTGCTGCTCCCATGGCCCACTCCAAACACTAATTTGAGGCTGGATGTTTCAGGACAGTACTATTTGCTTTCAGCGAAATCTGAATCTTTCAAAGGATGTGGACAAGCACGTCGTGGCTCCGGGGCCCCTCCAACTGGATGAAATTCCTCAGTCTCTGAGTTAGTGATTCGTCCCTTTCTAGTTTTAGGAAAGATGAAGCTTCTGCTCCACTTTTTCATACTGCTTTTGCTGAGTTTCAGGAGGAGAAATAAAGCAAAAATTCCTTTACTCTCTCATCTTTTACCATAAACTCCTTTAGGCTGGTTCTCATTTCCTTTCAGAAGTACTCCGTGGAAGATAATTAAGCCATTTGGCATTTTAGTGCTCAACAGCTTTGAAGGTTTTGCTGCTAAGTCTTATACTGGAGTCAGGGATGGCTTTAAGTTACTCTGAAGTTGAACACTCTACTGAAATTTAAAATGGTCTCCTTTATAGGAGCTAAACAGGTGGCAATTAATGTTGAATGGCGAGGCTATTTC